TTAATTTATTTTCGACTGAAGAAAGAAAGACGTGGACATCTTGGATGACATGGGGGTGAGTAAATTATCAGCAAAAGTTTTTTTCAAAGTGAACTACTCCTTTAAGTTTGAAGCCAGAAAAAGACCCCAAATTGTTCAATGGTGATACAATTACAGTTTCTGGATTGCTTACATAGATCAAGAGATCGTCTGCATACAGAGAGACGCGATGTTCCTCAGTCTCACGCTCAACTCCCCGTAACAACGACGCTTGTAAAGCTTTGATGGATGAAGTCAAGGCAAATATGATTACAGTGGCATACAGGAACAAACTGTGGTGTGTGTGCACTGATCGCGATTTGAACATTATTTGGGGCTGGGGAGGTGCCGTTGTGTTAAAAGAGAGGACCACTGTCTTAAAATGAAAATTCTGTCATCATTTACTCAGCCTCAAATTGTTTTAAACCTGCATGAATTTCTTTTTTCTGCTGAAAGGAAGGAAGATCTTCGGACAGTTGATGTTCTCCATTGACTTCCATAGTAGGAAAAAATACTATGGAAGTCAATGAGGTACATCAACTGTTTGGTTATCGACATTCTTCAAAATATCTTCTTTTGTGTTCAGCAGAAAAAATAAATCCATACAGGTTTGAAACAATTTGAGGGTGAGTAAATGATGACAGAATTTTCATTTTTAAGTGAACTAATCACACGCACTATGGGATTTAACCACGGTTCGAGGAGCTTTAGTCTCTCAGCTTCACAACATGCCTATGACCAATTCATGAAGTGCTGTAACTCACTGAAAGTCCTGCTATAATTCATGTTATTGTGTTATTTGATTAGGTTTAGTCAGTAAACAACAGATTTTTTTTTTAAATTATACAGGATCCTTCGGGATACACAAGTCTTCCACTTACTGGCGAATCCCAGCTCCAGACAGTGATTGTAAGTCACAATGATGAAGAATACCAGTGTGGACTCGCGTTCACAGAACGGGCTGCCTACAGTCTCTTCCTGCACCGTCCCGAACAGCCTGGTGGCTCTGTCTGCAAACTGGTGAGTCACTAGTAAATCACCACCAAAGATTCTACCAGCATATGTTACTAGACATAATTTGACATTTATCATTATTAAAACAAATTCAGGTGGAAGATCACATCACCAAATCTGAAAATGGGGATGCGTATATAAGGTAAATGAATACTTGCAGAACATTGTTTTATATTGTTTCAAGTTACTGTTTAACAGCTTTGTTAAAGTTTAGTGCTTTGCTGCAATTACCTACTTCAAGCTAACCTTTGACAAAGCAACTGGGATTGCCTGAAATTGGTCCCAGTACTCTTTTGTCTTAGAATATTTGTCTATTGCAGGTTCATCAATACCCACACCGAGAATATCAACATAACTGTTGGAGACGAGGAATTTTATGCAACCGCTAATTATGGGATTTCTCACAGTATAAGTGTACCAAGGGGAGAGTGAGTATTTTAGTCCTACAGTACATCGGTTTCATTATCCATATAGTTTCAAGCAACCCCTCCAACAGTTTTTCACATCTGGATTTACTCTTTATTTCAGATACAATAGAGTTGTTTGTTTAACAGACTCCAGTAGATATGAAGTCAATCTGGGACTTCTTGATTTTGGTGCCTTCTACACTGTTATACTCACACAGGTGCGTGATAGAGTTCAGTTTCTAGTTAATGTTTTTCTGCTACTTGTACTTTACTGCACAGTTTAAGATGTACTGTAGTTTATTCAACTCAGTGAGAACCTAGCCTAAGATTTACTGGCTATTTTTTTGCTGGTAAATAAGATAACGTAACATACAGTTTTGCAAGCTCAATTTTTTTAATGTTTCTGTGCCACTTGCGTCACCAAATAGACTAAGGCTGCGTCCGAAATCGCATATTAAAAATAAGAACCTCAAGAGATTAAGTAAGTACTTCTAGTCCAGTCATTTTATGAAAAAAGGATGAACAAATTGCAACAGAAGCAAACTCAACTGATTTTGTATCCTCAATATGTCCATGTTAACAAACAATTGCAAAAAACTTGTAATACATTTTTTGTTTGTCTTGATGTAAGTAATCAACTCAGTGATTTTCATGATGATATCTAAAGGTTAAAATTTTTACCCGTTTCACATGAGAAAAAGAATAAATAAGCGTATGAATGGGATATATTTGAGTCTATTTCTAAACTTTCCCCTAATGGGATTCTTCGGGGCTTTTTTTCCTCACTCAGGACATATTGAGGATACAAAATCAGTTGAGTTTGCTTCTATTGCAATTTGTTCAAAGTTGACCCCATTTTGGCTTAAAATGATTGGACTATTCACGGTAGGGGTGGGTACCGAATTCGGTACTTTTTAGGTACCGACCGAATTGCCTCGGTAGGTACTACCGAGTATCGAAACATGTCTTGTTTTTCGGTACCAATTTTCGATACCTAAGTGGTTAATCTCGTCAATGTCAGTGAAACAAGCATGCTGCATGATTGGCTGTGGCGGTAAACATTAGTTTACGCGGCTGCCCAGAGACGTAGCTCGTCGCACGTGAGGCTGTTTTGTGTGTGTGCGTGCAAGCGTCCCAACCCAGATAGATCGAAAATATGTGGAAATGATCCAAAGTGTACCTACAGTATGTGCCAGACTCGATACCAGAAACACGCGATGCAATATTTTCGACAAGATAATTGCCGCCAAGAGAGGTAACAAGGTAAATTTGATAAGGCACTGAGGCACACTTGAGAGTAGAAACGATTATCCCTCTTCGACTACAAGAACTGGAGCGCGTCATAAATAAACCGAAACTCAGTATATAGGATACTTGCCTCATAGACATGAGAAATAGGCCAAAATATGTCTACTTTTAAACAAAACAATTAGAAATAAATAGTTTGATTACCTAATCCATATTGGCGCATTCACTACTGCAGGAATGACGAGTCAGCATCGCCATAATCATATTTGCAGCCAGCACACTTAAAACTTGTTCATTAATAAACAATTAAAATATATTCTTGCTCTTGTTTCCCGACACATCCATAATCATTAGGCTACTTTTACTTTTCAAGCTTCATGTGTGCTGAGCGCGAGGCATATATTTAATTGAATTCACATTTATTTTTATAGCATTTTTCACAATACATATCGTTTCAAAGCAGCTTTACACAAAGTGCATGTTTCTAAATCACAATTTAGAGTGGTCTGTTATCAGAGGTGACAGTGTAATGCATTTCAGTTAATTTTCATTCAGTTTCATTGTCAAACAATGCATTAAGATAAGGCAGAAACAATTTGCTCATTGAAGTAAAGAATGAGAAAGAACGTGTTGTTCAATGATTAGGAAACATAGAAAACTTTAGCATTGGTGCTTTTTTACGTGAAAAAGTCTACAAACTGAAAAAAAATAAAATGTAGGTAATATTATATTGTTAAAACTGGTTACATAAAATTGGTATCGAAAAAAGTATCGTTCAGGAACCGGTATCGAAGTCAAGGTATCGGTATCGAACATTTTGTTACGATACCCAGCCCTACTACACGGCTGCTAAAAAGCACGTTCTATATAGTATGAGTGTGTGTAGCATGAATGTATTCCAGACGTACTAAATTCCGCATGTTATCATTATCATGTGACCGGTTACGTCACTTAATTGCCATTCACAAACCCTCTCCCGTGGCCTCATGGGAAAGTGTCCATCGTAGCTTTGTCATAATGGACTACAGTACCCATTTCTACAACTAGCTTTACAATATTTCAAACAGGAAGCAAAACATGCTTTTATGGATCAATATCTTGACGCAGTTCATTTCTACAGAAAAGCAATGATCTAACATTCACAACGATGGAGGATATCCAAGCCAACAACATTAACATCGCCTGGCAGATTCCCCAATATGTCTTCCTCACCGCTGGAGAAGTTATGTTCTCTATCACTGGTTTGGAGTTCTCTTACTCACAGGTAAGTCTGTCTAATGCCTTGTACTTTTAGCTTGAGTGCATACTGTACATTTCTAATTCTGGTGCTTTTGTGCGTAGGCACCGGCAAACATGAAGTCTGTTCTCCAGGCTGGATGGCTTATGACTGTGGCATTTGGAAATGTCATAGTACTGATTGTGGCAGAGGGGGCCGGGATGGAACAGGTAAGCTGTGGGCTTTCTTCTAAACGCCTGTATGGTTTTGTTGCATAGATTCTGCTCTTAACTGCACTTTCTTATGCAGTGGGTGGAGTTCCTCCTTTTTGCTGCCCTTTTGGTGGCTGTCAGCATCATCTTTTCCATCATGGCCTATTTCTACACCTATGTGGATCCAGATCAGCTGGACAAGATTTTCAGAGAGGACGCAGACGACGAGAAAGTGGAAAGTTTAAATGGTATGAAAAACGAGGCGTTTTCCATGGCTGACAAGCCAAAGCAAACCAAGATGTAGCAAAATGGCTGTTTCATTATGATTCAAATCCATTTATTGTGATTAAGCTAAATTCTGCTTTTAATATGTTCCAAGGTCTTTGTGGCATTATGTTGAACTCTACTGATCAGGGATTGTAGTCCAGCTGATTTAAGAGAAATTTACTGTGTTGAAGGAATTATTATGGTTTTACATTATATATATCTAACTAAAAGTAAGTATCTGTTTTTGAGCAGTTATAAAACGTAATCTCTAAGAATGTGATGGACTTTACATAGACAACCATTGAAAGATTTGGGGTCGGTAAGATAATTAATGTTTTGAGATAAGACTCTTGCGCTCACCAAGGCTGCATTTGTTCAATTAAAAATAAGGGAAGATTTGTGAAGTTTTACAATTAAAAACTTTTCTTTTTAAATATATTTTAAAATGTAATTCATGTCTGGGATGGCAAAGCAAAAGTTTTAGCAACTCCAGTCTTCAGTCACATGATCCTTCAGAAATCATTCTGATATGCTGATTGGGTGCTCAAGAAACATTTCAGTCACTTGTTGATGTTGTTGCAATAATGTAAAAAAATGTAAAGTCATTTTTTTGATCAGTTTAAAGAGACTGTGCTTAAAATATTCATTTCTTCAAAAAACTAAATCTTACTGACCTCAAACAATAGTGTATAAACTTCAGTAATTTCAATGCCTAAAACTATTAGTCCAACAATGCTATTTGCACATTTTAAAGCTCACATTTTTTTAACATAATGTTTGTAAATCTTGCAGTATTAAGATGGGATTAGTTTTCTAATCTAAACGACAGTTTAACATCGTATGGCTATGATTTGATGTACTAATTTGGAAGGGATTGGAAAGGATAAACAAGAAATATTTGTGATGTAATTATGCATATAATTACAACAGAGCAGATTTTAGCATTTGATCCACCCCACCAACTGTTATTTTACCTGTTATTTTCCAAAAAAAAAAAAAAATCCATAATTATGTAGGAATTGAGAAATTTGGCTATTAAGTAAGTATTTGATGCAGATCAAATTAAATCAAGCGATGTGTTATGAAAAATATAAAATGCGTAACGCATGCAAAATGTAAACATCTAATCTTACTTCATATTTTACAAACAAATTATTTTGGGTCTGGAAAAAATTTTAAGTATTAAAATGGATTATGGAGTATTAAACAATTGATATGATTGTTTGTACAAAGACTCATTTAATAAAAAGTAATCAGCATGGGATCTTTTATTTATAAAATATACTGTTCATCTGGTATAAATTAAGACCGAAGTTCTCTTTGTCGGCACATGATTAGCCTTGTAACTTGAGCGATGACATCAGGGTGTACCAGGAACTCTAGCAAGTCATTGGTGGATAGGTGCATACTAGCAGCTCCATGTGCGGATCCTGAGCTTTCTACTTCCTGGTGTGCATGCTGACCAGATCTCTGACAAAATTCACTGTCACTTCCCTGTTCTGGTTGTGAGGGGTCATTGTAGTTGAAGGAAGATGTGTCCTTTGGGCAGATGCATTTAGGTTTCTGAGCCAAAACAACAGGAATGAGTTGAGGTCCGAAGGGAATGACAAAAGTGGATTCTGGAGTCTTTAACAGTCCACTGGAATCACGTTTTCCCGCCTCTGCTTTAGGTTGGTCTGCAAACAGGGACCGGCCTCCAGAGTCGTCTGTCCTCTTGTCCAGATGGGCCTTTACTGCTAGGTTCAAATACTGCATGTTTTCATCATGAGAAGAAACTCTGTCCTAAGACACAAAGATAAAAAAAAATTGTAATTATGTCACCTTTGTACTTCCAAACCCATAATCAACCTGTTTCTCACACAAAACTATCATATGGCTTCAGAAGACTTGGGAGTTAACAAATCATATCACTGTCATTCTGCCCTGAATAGTCTCATTTTAAAAATAACTCATGGGTTTAAAATTGCATGTGTAAATATGAACTCATTATTCATGACATAAATATTCCCATAAGCTAGTCCTTTAAAAAAACAAAAAAACTAATTGCAGATAAACATCAAATAAAATAATTAAGTTTCTAACATTCTCTTGTCCATCAAAACTTGGTTATAAACCTAATGTTTCCATATGATCCCTATTACAGATTCACATTTGAGGTCAGATCAACTGAGAAACTACATGGAATATTTACACATAAAGGGTCTCATTCATAAAAAATTCGTAAATACACGAGTAAATCTGAAAGTGATTTGCGCGTAAAGAGACCTTCCCGAAAACTCTTCTCCTGATTCACAAATACTTTGTAAACGTCAGATGTGATCGTGAAATGTGTGTGTGTGTTAATGAATTCCAACCGGACGTAAATGGGATGTGCGTGCACGTTCATTCTCAATTACCATAAATCCCGCCCATTATATCCAACTGACATCTATATAGGCATATAATAACATGAATGCGAATGAAAAAGAAAGATTTCTCAGATGCAGAAATTGAAGTTTTATTATCAGAAGTTCATTCAAAATGCCACATTTTATTTTCAAGCGTACATAGTGGTGTATAAGGTCCTAAAAAAGGAAGCTTGGCAGCATATTATAGATGCAGTTAATGGAGTTTCATTTGTCATTCGAACAGTCCCAGAAGTGAGAAGAAAATGGTTCTTAACAGCAAAAAACAAACAAACAAAAAAAACGAATTAATTCACTTCGTAAAAATCGTATTCACACTGGAGAAGGACCGCCATCGATCACCAGATCTGCTATTTCTGGCTCTCATAATAAAAGTAAAAAGAAAAAACATATGTAATTACAATATAATATTTTTTTTCTAAAGCCTTATTAATGAGCAAATTGTTCGGATGTTAAGCGTACCGTTTACGCGTGGCTGGGAGCAGGTGTAGATTTCTTGCATACCAACTAACATTTGTAAAATACGAACATTTTAATGAATCCGAAAATTTACGCCAGAACCACTTCACACACAATTTACACAAAAATTCGTTCTGCTCGTGTTTCATGAATGAGACCCATTGAATTTTAAAAATATTAAAACGAAATGTCATTTTCTTTTATACATTACCATTCAAAAATGTGGGGTTGGTAAGATTTTATATTGTTATTAAAGAAGTCCCTTATGCTCACATTTACAGAATATATCATCAAAAAAACGGTAATATTGTGAAATTACATTTTTAAAAACGTTTCTATTTTTTTACATTTTAAAATATAATTTAAGGCTGAATTTTCAGCATCATTAAACCAATCTTTAGTGTCGCATAATCCTTCAGAAATAATTCTAAACGGCTGATTTGGTGTATACTTCTTAGAGCTTAATATTTTTATAAGAATACGATGGTGAACAAAATATATCGTTGATGTCCATGTTGTTTATTTCAACATGCAAATAATGAACTGAGCACAAGAACCCTCTGTAGAACAAAAGATTACACATTACATTTATCTTATTAAATGACAGAAACATTTTTTCAACATCTTCAAGGGGTTTGGTGCGAAACTTGGTTTTTGGTGAATTTTCACTGTTTTATTGAGATTTCAGGCCAGTTCTTCAATAAATCTTTAATGGACTGAGTACCTCAGTGGGATTGAGCCAGTGGTCGTCGTTGTCTAAGCTGGGGGCGCTCTTCAGGGCACACACAATGGTCTTAGTGAGAGCTTCTCCTACTCTGGCCTCATCGTCCATGTCCTACAGCAGGAAAAAAAGAAACCACATCATTTGCTTACATAATATGTAACTTTTTCTTAAGAACCTGATTGTAGATAGTATGAGTAGTAGGTTTGCTATGCATTATGGGATCATTTAATGCAAAGTGGATAGCAATCTCTCATCCTCTACAATTTAAGACCTTGGTGTTATTTTAGACAGCAGCCTGTCTTTTGAAAATCATATTCCCATGTTACAAATACAGTAATATTCCACCTTGTTTGTCGATGTATGGAAAATGTTACCTACTGTCTTCATTATTGTAATGCGCAAACAGGTGATTTTCCTACATGCTCAGAAAATGAGCTAAAGTTAGTCCAACACTCAGCTGCTAGAGTTCTAACCAGGTCAAGGAAATATGATCATATCACCCCAATCTCATTATCTCTACACTGGCTAACTATTTAGTTCCATATCGATTATAAAATAGGCTATGCTTACCTATAAAGCCCTAAATGGTCTAGCTTATTTGAATTTAACAAGTCTTCTATCATGCTCTTTAAGGACACAAAGTTCTGTACTTTTGATAATAGCAACGATATCAAAGTCTACTGAAGGAGGTAGAGCTTTTACGCATTTGACTCCTAAACTCTGGAATAGCATTCCTGATAATGTTTGGAGCTCAGGCACTGTTTAGATCTAGATTAAAGACAAATCTCTTTAGCCACATAATACCTCACATAAACTTGTACTTCAATTATATCTACTGTAATGAAATCGTATCAAATACAGCTTTGGAATGATTTCAGGTGATGACAACTTGGATCAACATACAGTATCCTTGTATTGTAATTAGGGCTGTCAAACGATTAATCGCGATTAATCGCATCCAAAATAGAAGTTTGTGTTTACATAGTATATGTGGGCGCACTGTGTATAATTATTTTACACACACATGCTTGTATATATGTAAGAAATATTTTCATGTATATACTGTATATAGATTTATATGTAATTTATATTATATATAAATATAAATATTTTACATATAAATATTTTTTTTCTTAAATATACATGCATGTGTTTATATATATATATATGTATATAATAATTATACACAGTGCACCCACATATATTGTGTAAAAAGAAACTTTTATTTTGGATGCGATTAATCATTTGACAGCCCTGATTGTAATATTATCATGATATTGTAATATTGATCTTATATTGTAGATATAATTGCAGTAATCTTAACTACATACATGAAGTTAACTAATGTACTATAGTATAGCTGTATATTACTGCCACAAGGACATTACTTTGATACACATCACTCGCTGATAAAAGAATGTTATTTCTAAATTTGACAAGGAAACTATAAAGCTTACAAAAAACAACAGAAATAAATCATAGTCATAAAGGCAAAAGTGTCTTACTATTTCAATCCAGGAATTCACACTGACAGTCACTGGATCCACAGACTCCACATAGTGCCACCAGTGTCTGGGGACAAACAGAACCTGTGAAACACAACAGCAGTCAGTCAATACTATGATATACGATATTCATAACATGTCAAACAATGACCTGCATATAATTTATCCTCATATATCATTAAAAAAAAAATCATGAATTTTTTCACTTTCCCATCAAATAATCGTGAGCGTCATCTTCTCAGTTCTCGCGCATGTGTCGTGGCGCTCTCGTGAACTCACTCAAAGGCCATACAGAAGAAAATGAATAGTTGAATAAAGTCGTTATTTTAGGGGTTTTTTTCTGCGCACAAAAAGTATTCTCGTCGCTTGAGCCACTGTAGTCACTTGCACTATTTAATTTTTAACGATGTTTTACTAACTTTTCTGGAGCAGCAGAATGAAATTGCGTAGAAGGCTATGGGGAAGTGAGACAGCTCGAAAGTCTTGCGGGGTTGAATGGAACAACATGAGGGTGAGTAATTACTGACAGTTTTCATTTTTTGGGTGAACTAATCCCTTCAACTCCAAAAATGTGTGTAAAACCTGATGATCATGTTCTTCAGCATGATTTGAGAATGATCCAAAGAGTAGCTTTTCATTCAGCGGAAGCAAGATCATCTGAGTGTCTTTACACAGAAGTCACATATCTCAGTGTCACAAATTTGACCTAGAAATAGTGCATGGTTATGGTTATCCTTGTAATTAATTACCTTTTGCTGGTCCAAGATTATGGAACAAGTACAACCTGGTTAGGTCTTTGTAACATAATGGTTAGGTCTTAGGTCTTTGTGGTTAGGTCTTTACAGTCACAACTGTTCTCTCCTGCATTTTAATACATTATATTGAAGGGTGTTTTATTGGTTGTGGTTCTGTTGTCTTTTTTTATTATATTTATTCTTTTTTGTTTATATTATTTGTAATTTACAGCACTTTGGAGTTGTCTTGCAGCCTGAAAGGTGCTATCTATTTAAACACATATACTGTGTGTGTGTGTGTGTGTGTGTGTGTGTGTATATATATATATATATATTCATCTCAGAGATTTGGACCGAACTACACTCTATGCAAAGTTGTAAAGTGCACATTGAAATACTATTTACCACAAGGTGGCAGCTGTGCTCTCTATATAACATCACATCATTTGGGTCATAAAAAAAAAATATCTATATCCTACCAATATTTTATTATTATTTATAGCAATATTCTCACATACAGTATTTTTAAATCTAAGCAATCTCTCTATAACAACAAACATTCAGCTAAAATCAGATTCATGAAAAAGAAAACCAACACTGAGTTAGTGTTCATGAAACAAACTGACATAAAAACATAAGTTAAAGTGGCACTTGTTTCTTTATTATTAATGACAAAATATCACAGTAAAGTTTAGTAATTTTATGAGCTTTTGTCTTTTACATTTTTTTTTTTTTAGTTTTAGTAATAGTAGAACTTTTAATAGAACTCAATTTGATTTCAGTTCGTTTAAGATGTTGTTTTTTTTTACCTCTAGCATTCCAGAACTCGAGGTACATTGTAAGTCCCTTCTTTTCCCCAAGTGTTTGCAGGGAGAGCTAGTGGAGCAGCGTTAGCGGTCTCACAAAATGGAAGTTTGTGTCTCCCGTCTTCATTAGTATGCTGTGAAAAGTGTGAGTGCTCCCGCAGAGTACGCTCACAGTGTTGGACTGCCACTAATTGCCTTGCCACCGTCTCGCCTCTCAAAGAGCTTGATCAGAGAGGTTTCACACACGCTGTTGGAATCTGAAGGAGGAGGATGTGCTAAAAAACATGCACGCGGCTTTATTCGGCTGCTGCTGTCTGATTCATCAACGCGTCGTTAAAATGTACACATAAGAGAACTGTTGTAATACAGGATCCAAAAAGACACTCGGTTTGTAAACGTACCATCCATGACATCATTTGATGGTAATTTATTGACAAATCTCGACTTAATTGCACAACTGTACACACTAGATTTCCTATGCGATATCTGGGATTTAAACAAGCCCTCTTTCGCTTGCAAACAACTTATGACAACACATTTGAAATTACCTTTGTAGGCAATATAATTTGTGATACATTAAAATGTAATTTTATTGTAAATAATATAATATTAAAAATATCAGAATTGTTTAATGCATGAATGCTAAAGGAAAGGCAGCCAACAAATGTCCAGAACGTCTTTAATAGTGTTTAAAAAGGTTTTTTTAATACTTTTTTTTTTAAAAATGTGGTAAGATTAGTGGTCTTAAAACAGATTGACATGGATTTTTTTTTAAGTGGACACAGTGAATGTAGTACTAATCACAAAGGATAAAAATACTGTACTGTGTCTGTGACCGTAAAATAATGTAATTGTGTCTCGTATGACTATACAAGCTGTATACACAGAGTTGTAAGATAAAGATAAATATTGTGCACCTTTTACATCGCCATGTTGGATTAATGTTGCCATAAAATTATGATTTAATAATGAGTAAAATGTAATCCCAGTGTAATTTTAATTAGGGCTGTCAAGCGATTAATCGCGATTAATCGCTTCAAAATAAAAGTTTGTGTTTACATAATACAGTATATGTGGGTGCACTTTGTATAATTATTTTATATATATAAATACACACACATGCTTGCATATATATTTAAGAAATATTTTCATGTATATACTGTATATAGATTTATTTATAATTTATATTATATATAATTATTTTATATAGAAATAATATTTTAAATATGAAATGCATGTGTATTTATATATATACAAAATAATTATACACAGTGCACCCATATCTAATGTAAACACAAACTTTTATTTTGGATGCGATTAATCGCAATTAATCGTTTGACAGCCCTAATTTTAATATAATTTATATAACATTATAATGTTTATAAAAAAATTTAATTAGCTTATAATTTTCATTTCACTTCACATTTGTGCTATACAGTACTATTCTAAATGTAGTAAATCTAGTAAAAATAAAATCTAGTAAAATCTTCAAAATCTAGTAAAAATAAAGAATTAGTAGCCTGGACAAAATTAAAAAAAAAAAAAAAATCATACAGGCCTACCTGACCAGGCTCCAGAGTAACGGTATGGACTCGAGCACTTTTGAATGCTGGGAACTTTTTCAGGTCTGGATGGACCACGCTGACCTTGCTGAACACGCTAGACTCCTCGTATGGGATACGTGTTGGGTAGAGGCAGGGTGTGTCATCGGGAGGGAAGAGATGCCAGCGTTTCCTGGTGAAAGAATGACTTTGTGATTCCACTTCAGTTGAAGGTCAAATTCTCAACGAGTTCTAATAACGAGTTGCTTATTAGTATGATAATATGTTTATTTTTTTATAGTGCCTTTCAAGAACCCAAGGTCGTTTCACAAAAAAAAAAAAAAAAAAAAAAAATAAAATACAAATAGTAGACAGACAAAAGAAACATGCAGTCAGCTTATTAGGCTATCAAGCGAACAAGAAGTGAAGAGAAGAGAAGAGGATGGATACAACAATGAACATAAGTCAAAGATGACAAACATATAAATCTTTTTTGCAAAATATATATTTCGACAAAAGAATAGAATTAAAGATTTATTGAGCATGGTAAAGATATGAGTTTTACATTTTGATTTGGAGATTTATACGTTTTCAATGGCACGAAGATTGGGGGGCAGCTTATTCCATAGGCCTACAACACTAAAAGCCCACCCACAGTATAGTATAAACTTGGGGGCGACAAGTAAATTGCCGTTGCTAAATCTAAGAGGCTGAGAAGGAAGATATGGTTGCACGAACTCATGCTATTTATTAGTACTTATAAAGCACATATTAATACTTTATTCTGCATGACCATATTCTACATCCCTTGATCCTACTCAATACCTAAACTTAACAACTACCTTACTAACTATTAATAAGCAGTAATTATGAGGCAAAAGTCATAGTTAATAGTTAGTTAATAGTGAGAATTGGATCCTAATTAAAAGTCTGACCATATTTCATTGTATTATTTGGTAACACTTTACTTGAAGGGGTGTGCATTAGACTAACATGACACCTTCATAATTATGACATGACATTTCAGGTGGTTGGTTTTGACATTGGCTTTCATGAAGCCATTATAACTCTTTCAATTAGTACCACTGCAGTTGAGGTCACGAAAAATATTCATGACACACTTATAATGGACTTATGACAGCCAATGTCAAAGCCAACCACATGACAGCTTAACTAAATTCAAGACATATGTCATGTCATGGTTATGAAGGTGTCATGTCAGTCTTATGAACACCCCTTCAAGTAAAGTGCTACCTTTCATGGTATTATAGAAAGTTTCACCACAGCCACATTTTTTTTTTTGCCATAGATTATATTTCCCCTGTATGCTGCCTGTCATGTCACAGCAGTGCTAATCAAACAACTGCGATTGAGACAAATGGGAATTCTAATGGTTAGCTTTCAGTTAGGACGTCAGTTTCTAGAGGAATTTTCAGCATGTAGGTTGCATTGCTACCGATGACAGCCAAGCAACTGCCATTGAGATGAATGGGAATGCTTACGGATGAGCTAGTTTTCTCAAAGTGTTATGGGTCTACTTGCAAGAGGTATTATACAGTATTGTGATTTCTGTGGCAGGCCATCTTGACAAGAGGAGTCTCAAATTACAGAGACAAGACAAGCTCCACAGAGAGATAAGATGGAGGAAGAGGTTCTTTGTTGTCAGATTCGCTTCTCTCGATGGAGCAAATAACATATCTCAATAGCTGTTCACATCACTACACTTTGATTCGCTCTTTCGGATGCAGAAGAAAAATGGCTTTCTTTCAACAGCTCAGGATTGGATCAGGAAGCCTAACATAAGATGAGATACAGCTCTTGTCAATATTTGTAGAAATCACATGGTGTTCCTCTAAACCATGTTCATAGAATAAACCAAATTGGCAGTTTTGCCTGAGGCTTACGATAGCTGGTCATCAAAAACTAGTTTCATCTCACATCAAACCATAAAATCAGAAGGGGTTATACAAGTGCAGGAAAATACAATAACATAGTTGTGTTATGGGTTCTTTTTATTAAATGGTGACATTCACCCACTATAATTGATTTTGAGGAGCATTTACGAGGGCATATTGTTTCTAACATGTCAAAAACTTCAACTGAATCTATTACCAAGTACATGACAGAAATTGCTAAAATAGGCATCATGAGAAATCGCACCTGTCTCTGTCACAGTAAATAGCAAAAAAGGTTTAAATCTAACATTCTCTGACTGGCTTTTAAAAAACATGGACTGGATGTCTTTGCTATTAAAAATCATATTTATTATTTGAAGTAACACTGAAATAAAATAAAATATTAGTATTAAAATTAAATACTACAAAAAAAAATACAAAAATACAATACAAATACAAAAAAAAAATAATTGAAAAACAAACAAAATTTTGAAATGCGCCTTATCAATTAACTGGAATAAAATAAGTTTAAGCTGAAGTACTAAAACGACAAAAAATCCTAATAATGCTTTAGGAGAGTGTATATAAACTAATAAAAATGACAAAAGCACATAAGTAACATGAAAACTGACAATACAAAATATTCACTAATACTAAAATAACACTGACTGAAATGTAATAATCTTAGTAAATTGAATCGTTGCTAATATCTCAGGCTTGTTTGCTACAAAACCTGGTAATGTCAATGATGGCAATGATGTTGTGAGTCAATCTTTAAAATCAACCCCATTGGCTGGTTTTATGAAATCTAGTGTCAAAAAATCTTGGTTTTGTTTTAGAAAGTAACTTAAAAATGGATAGGCAAATCAACTCAGTTGTGAGAACCATTTTATTATGTACGGCTTTTAGCTAAGACTAAACCTTTTTTATCAGGTCCAATCTTAAGAAAGCAATTACTAATCACACAAATGGACTCTCTTTTTTATGGTATTGATGCTAGATCACTAGCCCACTTACAGAAAGTCCACCAGCTAAAAAAAAAAAAATTACTCTGTTATGCCCCTTTTAATCACATTGAAATGTCTGCCTGTATGTATAGACTTATGTATAAGATTCTTCTACTTGTTTTTAAGGCTTTTCACAATCAGACAACTTTGTGCATGTCCAACATATTGTCAATATATACTCCCCCCAGATCCTTGAGATCAGAGAATCAGCATCTTCTATGTGTCAGCATCTTCTATGTGAAGCCCGTGTTTCAATAAACTGTGCTATATAAGAATGAATAAACGAAATTAAAAAACAAAATTTTCTGACCCTGGTTCTTACCTCCCTTGGATCTGGAACACAAGATTGCAACCATATGAGTCAAGGTGACATGGAGTGTTAGCACCCCGTGTGCCAATCCAAAGTGTGCTGTCTCGACCATCTCGGCCAGCAAAGCCAAAGTCAGACCACATCACATCCTGCAGTTATAATGTTTGTGTTTACAAAGAGCAGAAAACAACTTGATGTCAATTCTTTTCAATATAACAAACAAGAAACACTCAGAGATGCTACCCTTGAAGGGAGATAATGGAACCATTACTATGTCCAGAGGACTGCAAATGAGATGGTATGTAATCAAGCCCTCAGCAATGTTTAAATTACCCTATTCATCATTTAAGAGAGGCCCATGTCTGCTCCCGGTGCCCTAGCTGGCAGGGTGAATATTGCTACCTCATAAGCATTTATTATGATTTATAAAAACTGAAAGCTAGAAACAAACATTAGGTTATTGTTCCCTTGGCTGGGGAAAACAAAAACAAAATAAATTGGCACAAAATATCATTAAATGTCAACAGAATGACAATGATGTGCCATAGGATATGTTTTACTGAAATGGTAAAACTGCTAGTACTGATGAATTGCTGATATCCGTTATTATTACAAGTGTTGTGATACATTTTCATGAGATGTTATTAACAACTCTAGGCTAATAAAGAGTTTCAGAGAGCTCATAAAATAAAGGTAATCATCCTCGGGAGACAAGGCAATAGATACTAATGAATATTTGACTGTGTTTATTGATCAAAGCTGATGTCATTGACGTGCCCTGTGTGCTGTAGAGCGCCACTTCATGAAAAATTGGTCGCTCTCGAGCATAACTGGCATGCGGAAAAAGGGAAATGGGTTAATATGGTGCTTGATGAGGTCTGAGAGCATGATTGATGGTGAGAGGAAACTAAAAGAGTAGTGTCTCATTCATTTATTTTATTCAAATGGAGCTCACTTTAGGAAAACTAGATTTTTTTTAACTAGAATTTGTGATGCAAAATGTATCATCATAATCGTATCTTTTAATCCATTATAAGAATACATAATACTATATATTGTATAATAATAATAATTGTAATACTGTCATATTAGTAGTATTAAATATCTGAAAAATATGAAAAAGGGAATTTACAAGGTTTACCTGAAAGATGGCAGGTTTGTCCTGAAAAAGCTGGGCAATGTACTTGTAATCAGCATAAGCCCAGAATTCCTTGCAGTGATAGTCAGAAAATGGCCCATCAAGTGATTCACCCTCATTGGCAGTCCAAGACAGAAACTCTTTAACAGTTGCTTCAATGTAGGAGCACTCCGTTTCAAAAAGAGGAGCTGGTGCAAACAAAGTGAAAAAGACTATCAGAGAAAGAGACCAGAGATTTTAAGCAGGTTTATTCAAAATGCATGAACTGGAAAAGCCTTTGATAATGTGAAATTATTTTAGGCACATTAACTGGTAAGAGGCAACATATATTAAAATGGTTTACTTTGCATATTATAGCATGTTATCAGTTTGTTTGATTTCAAGTCATAAAAACTGCAAGTATAACTATCACTGAAAATTGTTGGTTAAAATAGTTGGTAACTCTTTACAATAGTTAATGTATTAACTAACAATAAGCAATACATTTGTTAGTGTATTAGTTGATAAAAATATAACATACATATAAAATTAATATTACAATAATGCTATTCATTGTTTGTAATGTTAGCTCACAGTGTATTAACTAAGATGAATAAGCACTGTAGAAGTATTGTTCATTCTAAGTTCATGTTAACTAAGGCAGTTAACTAATTTTTAAGTGTAACCAAATAATTTTAGAGCTATAGTGTTGTCACAATCCTGTCTCTGCTTTTCACCTGCATTTCCCTTTAGCAAAAAGCTAAAACAGCCTTCATGGATTGTTGCCATTGGTTTGCCAGAAGTGCCAAAGGCATTTACACATGTAATGGTAAAATTCCCGTTGTAACCAAAATTTTCTGCAGGCACATTATTACCATATTCCAAATCCACAAATTCCAAATGCACCTTAGGATAGAGGGCATGTTCTTACAGAAACAAATGTGTTTTATGTTGACATTGTAGTGAACAAGCACTTCCTTTTTGGCACTTCCTTTTTTAATATGGAATCGAACCCACTCTGTAAGGCAAGTTCACAGGTCATCCACAGTCCAGTGTAATGCTGGCCAGTCTTTGGTCATGTTCAGGAACATAACATAGTAATGAATGTATGTTACTCATGAAGTAAATGTATTCATTTATTTATTTTACAAAATTATTATGCTTTTTACACCACCTTCAGAAAGTATTCACATTGCGAAACAAAGGGGAGGAATACTCTTGAGAAATTGTAGGATACTACATGGGTGTTGTCTCTTCGCAAGTAACTAGACAACATTATAGTGTTTCTTGGGATACCTATTCCTGGAAATCTAACTTCCTTGGATTTAACTCCAACCCTCTTCTAAAACACCTACCCATCATTTAAATTTAGAAAATTGAATATCCTGATTATGTTTAAAAAATATGTTGTGGACAAATGCAGTTATGAGCTTCCTGTTTAATGTTTGTGGCTTACCCATATCCTCATTCCTTTTTCCAATACGGAATCGTACCCTCTCAGTAAGGCAAGTTGACAGGTGCTCCACAGTCCAGTGTAATGCTGGCCAGTCTTTGGTCATGTTCAGGAACACAGCTGGTTTTTGTAGAAACTGGACAATCCTCCTCGCCTCTTCTGGGGTGAAAGGTTTCGAAGCCATTCTACAGAAAAGCATAAGACGAGGATGATTAAGATAAGTAGATTCTGTCTTACAACACATATTCAGTGGTTTAACAATAAACCACTCAGATCATGAACATATATCACAGTGATTGATTGTGATGAAGACAATCACAAAGTCAAAACCATAATCACAGTCAAATCAATAGAACTGACACTCACTACTTGTGCATCATCTGTTTAAAAGTTAAATTTTTGCATCTACACACATGTAAACTCGACTAAAATCCATTTTCCAGCTAGTAAACAAAACTCACGTGAGACGTAACAGTGTTTTTTTTTCTCACAACACATGGAACACGAAACCACGGCCATTTTGGCTCCACAGAGGAGCTGAAGTCCCCTTAAATTGATCAAATATATGATCCAACATGGAGAACAAAGACGTTCAGTTTCAGACGCTACGTCAATTCCGCCTCGACGCAAGCGCATGCGCAATAAAGTTTGGAGCGCTGCTGAGAGTGTCATCGGTTGTTTTTGTTTCGATGGGCAGCTGACACTTGAGCGACTGCCCTAGTTTTTTTTTACGTGTCATGTTATAGACGTTGCTGGATAGCATAAAGACATTTTAAAACGTGATAACACGTCTGTTCAATGGGTGCCGTGGAAAGCACCGAGGGGGAAAGGGAACCTTTGCTGGTTCCAGCCCAGCCTGCGACAAACAGCACACAGCCTGTGTTCAGCAGGGTGTATGGGAGAAGATGGTTTGTTCTCACCATGTTTTCATTGTTGGCTTTTATGCAAGGACTGGTGTGGAACACCTGGGGCCCGATCCAGATCTCAGCCAAACATGCGTTCGAGTTCTCATCGACAGATATCGCGGTGCTGGTGATGTGGGGTCCAGTGGGCTACATGCCCTGGCTGCTGTTTATTTGGTTGATGGATAAGAAAGGTGAGTTTTTGTCTAGTGCCATGGCAACAATATCTGTAAATACAAATAAATGATGACAGATAAACTTGCCATTATTTAGACAGATTTATGCATTATACCACATAACTGAAGGTGTTGTAGTAAATAACCAGAGCCAATTTCATAATTTAAATGTCTATTGTACACATTTATGTTTTAACAAATTTGAGATGTCTGTGCAATTGTTTATATCTATTTTATGCATGTTGTTCACTACAGAGATGTCTTTCAAACCATTTTATGGGTGACATATCCAAACTATAATTTGTAATTACCTTAGGCAAGGCAAGGCAAGTTTATTTATATAGCACATTTCATACACAGTGGCAATTCAAAGTGCTTTACATGGAAGAAATTAAAATAATCAAAAGAAGTCAGAATAATTAAAACAACCTTAAAAAACCCTTAATCATAATTTCATACAACTGTCCTTTATGTCATTATGTTTTTATAACAACATACATTTCTGACAAATGTGTTAAAGCCGAGTTCCTTTTGAATATGTTATACTGACTTTTATTGGTGTGGCCTGGCTAGTTGTGTAACTTAAAGTACACCCTTTTGGAAAAATAAGAAATGCTGTGAATTATTGTGTTTTTTACGATGCTTTATGCCACTCATTACCTCATTTGAAATAAAGTAATAATCATTAAAAAAAAGGTAGTTTAGTTCATCACATGCTAGGCTACAAAACCAGTTCCCTAACATCATATGACACAAGTCATTATGTAAGCCTGGTGTCATTAGATGCAGTTTTTGTATTCATGCTTGCCATGCCAATTTAATGAGTTTCTAAGTTGAGGAAATTACAGACTTAAGCCTTGAATGAAATGTGAAGTGGACATAAAGAATAAATAATAGTAAAATGGAAGTTAATTAGCCTATGTCCTATCATGTTCTTCATGTTGTTCTTCATAATTTGTTGATGTTTAGGGAACCTTTACCTTATAGAATCTAAATCTTTCTGATATTTCATAGACTTTAAATTAAATATTTTGAGGGGAGCCAGCTGTTTACCAAGATTAGGGAAATATTGAATCTAAATTTGTTTCTGTTATTCATACAAATTTAAATGATAGATTCTACAGCAAAAATCACCTAATTTAATAGATTCTCACCCAAAAATGACAATTATAGTTTTTTTTCTCCCTAAACCAGTTTTAATTTAACCAAAAACTGAAACCGCTAAATAAATTTGGTCATTGAGTATTTTAAATCAGTTTGTCGTTCATAGGTTCATCAGTCGTTGTAAAGCCAAGTCAAGTCACCTTTATTTATATAGCGCTTTTTACAGTACAGATTGTTTCAAAGCAGCTTCACAGTGAGAACATGAAAATAATACAACACAGATCAATAATATTGTTGAATATGAAATGTCCACAACTAAGCAAGCCAAAAGCAAAGGCAGCAGCTAAGGAACCAAAACTCCATCACGTGACAAAATGGAGAAAAAAACCCTTAGGAGAAACCAGGCTCAGTCGGGGGCCAGTTCTCCTCTGGCCATGTAAAGCCATTTCCGATATTTCAAATTAACACATTTTACACTGCTACTCGAGCTAGCATCATTGTTGGTGTGTCTAACAAGTGTACCTTTTGTAACTTATACATGTTGTGTGCAAAAAATAGACGCTGACCCAATCAAAACACATCACTGAAGAAGAGCAAGTCATTTCGGTCAATGATTTCAACCCTCCGAAGATATTGCTGACAAAAAGGACAGAAAACCTCCAAGAACAATAACTTGAAACACAAATGGTTTTGCAGAGAACAAGACAACAGCTTTGATTTCAATCTTTTCCTCACACAAAGTTGTCATATGATGTCAAATGTTATATAAGGTGCATTCACATTTGATTTCAAACCAAATGTCGTAATTACCACAATCACATGATTTTTCACTTGTAAAAAGTAATCGTGTCCTTGTAGAGCTTGTAATCACAGCTCGTAAGATTGGAATTGTCTGAGAGCTGTGACTCTTGTATCAGATGATTAATTAAGGTGTTGATAGTGCAAACACATAATTATGAGTATGTAAACAGTTCTGAATATGTCACGTGTTGTCAATTTGAGACTACGTTAATTTTGGCATGGTGTGAATGCAGCAATAGACAACATTTATGGTGTTTATTACATGGACATATTTTTATATGGTAATAGTTGCATAAAGATTACGTTTCACATAAAAATAACAGTATTCTTGACATTTTCGAGCCTTCCTCAAATAACAATCGCCTGGTTTGCATTTGGAAAAGAGCGTTTGGTCAAACAGAGCAGAAAGCTTGTGTTTTTAACTTCCACACTGCCTTTCACGTTATCTTACCTGGAAAAAAAGTATATTTTCAGATATCTGAAAGACTGGATAATGTCAAAGAAATGTCTTCAGCTCTCAGTTTCCCCCGTGTTTTTACACCTCATTCATTAGATTATACACTAGTCGAGGTTTCAGTTCTGATTAATACTCGTTATTTGGTATCTTTGATAAGAAAGTGCATGTTCTTTTGTAAACATTTCACTTTCCCTTTTGTACTCAACATGAAAACAATTGCCTCAGGCTGTGAAAACCGTGTTTGCCAAAAACCACAGTTCGCAGCTTCTATATTATTTAAACTCAAAAACATGTTTAATGAATCCAGGAAAATGTAATTCATTATGCATCCAGTATCTCAGAGATGGATCTACATCAACGACTAATCTCATCAGTTAATTAAAGCTTACGAGATATTTTATCTGTCTGATATGTTTTCTTTCCTTCTTCTCTGACTTGTGCAAAAGGTTTGCGAGCATCCCTGCTGCTGTCAGCGTTCTTCATGGTGCTGGGCGCAGCGCTTCGAAGTGTGCCCCTCAAAGATCTGCACTACAGACGCTGGTAAGACTCACACAATAAGTTACACTATGTGAAACATCTTTTGTTAAAAAAAAAAATGAATTCATTTTTATCCTTATTGATGTCTGGATTGGACATCTTTAGTTGTTGTTGTTGCTATTTTGAGTTGAGATGAGAATTATCACTAATCTCTGTGTGCATTTTGCTTTAGAACCAAGCAAGACACTCCTGAAACCATTTGTTAATTAAATCACAATCGCAATATTGACCACAATAATCGCAATATGACATTTTCCCCAAATCGTGCAGCCCTATTGAATACCAATGTTGTTTTGTATAATTATGGCTTTTGTGATCTAGCTGTATTTGGGTGGTTAGATGTAGTTCTGAAAAGAGAACATTTCATCAGTTCAATACTGCTATCTAGAGAGCAGGTTGGCCAATATCTATCAATCTATAAATAACAGGAATGTCTGTGTGTGTGTGTGTGTGTGTGTGTCTGTCTGTCAGTCTGTCTTTTAATAAAATAGCTCTCGAACCGTTAGTATGATGGATTTCAAAATGACAGGTGTCTAGCTACGGGCATGAGTAAGTACAATGCCGAGTTTGACGTTGTTTGGATTAGAAATGCAAAAGATATTTTTAAATATATCTGTAAAAGAAGCACACATTGAAGTTGTGGTTTAAAGATAAACATTAAGGCCACATTTACACACAGCCGGATAAATGAATATCCCACAGATATATGAATTTCTCACAATTTACATGGCAACACATAACTGGCGTTATCAGAAATCTCCACTTTGGCTGGAGTTTTTAGAAATAATCGTTTTCTGTGATGAAACGGGGTTTTCGTCCAAATGAGAGGCCAAATCCCATCTGTGTCTTTCCTTCGTGTAAACGGGGCATAAGTCAGCTACACTGTTTACTTCTGAATATTGTAGTTATTCACAAGTTGTTAGTTGTCAGTAGTTAGTTATGTAGTTCAATTTATTGACATTCCATATGTCATTTTGTCAGTATCAGTATTTGCTTTCAACCATGCTCAAAAAAATGTCACTGAACTTTTGCTGTTTAATTGTAAAAATGAGCACTCAACACACCAAACCAACAATTATTAAAAACACACACAAAAACTGTTTTTGCACATATTACATACTGTCAAATTGATGGTCCCACTTTATATTAAGTGGCTTTAAAGGGTTAGTTCACCCAAAAATGAAAATTCTGTCAGTTTTTACTCACCCTCATGTTGTTCCAACCCCTTAAGACCTTCGTTCATCTTCAGAACACAAATTAAGATATTTAAGATATTAAGATCGCTCCTGCATCCTCCTAGTCCATAGGCTTCTTGAGTGTGTGTCGCATAGATGTCGTCATGGTCTTGCTGCTCCCTCCCAATTCTTTGATTGGTCCCCCCGCTGAGGCAAAAATTGGTCCATGGTATCCAGACCATAGATATCCATAATGAAGGCTAGATATCTTACGACGGAGTCTCTATCGTCCTCATCGGCGGCCATCT